GTGTTCTGGGCTGTATTGGTGTCCAGTGTTGGTGTTCTGGGCCGTATTGGTGTCCAGTGTTGGTGTTCTGGGCTGTATTGGTGTCCAGTGTTGGTGTTCTGGGCTGTATTGGTGTCCAGTGTTGGTGTACTGGGCTGTGTTGGACTGCAGTGTTGGTGTACTGGGCTGTGTTGGACTGCAGTGTTGGTGTACTGGGCTGTGTTGGTGTACTGGACCAGATTGATAGTGTTCTGGGCTGTATTGGTGTCCAGTGTTGGTGTACTGGGCTGTATTGGTGTCCAGTGTTGGTGTACTGGGCTGTGTTGGTGTACAGTGTTGGTGTACTGGACCAGATTGATAGTGTTCTGGGCCGTATTGGTGTACAGTGTTGGTGTACTGGGCTGTGTTGGACTGCAGTGTTGGTGTACTGGGCTGTGTTGGTGTACTGGGCTGTGTTAATATCCCCTCTCTCTCTGTGTCTCCAGGTCTAGAAGACAGCAGTCGACACGCCATGTCCCCTCCCCCCTACATGCAGGACGGGGGGCCCCTGCCCCCTCCCCCGCACTGTAACCCCCAGCCCCCCTACCCCCCCGCGCCCCCTCCCCACTCCGCGCCCGAGGGGTACATGCAGGAGACCCAGTTCCACTGCGGCACGCTGGGGCGCCCCCAGGGCTACACGGTGCAGACCCAGGGGTCGGCCGCACCCATGCCACCCGCGGGGTACCTGCAGACGGGGTACCCCCTCCAGCTGCAGCCCTGCACTGCCTACCTGCCCGTCTACCCGCTGGGGGCCCAGGTGAGTGGGGTCGGAGGTCAGGGGTCAGGGGTCAGGGGTCAGGGGTCGGGGCGGTGCTGAGTTAGTCCAGTCGGTCAGTGTATGATCTTGCCCCTCTCTCTCTCCTCTCAGGGGCAGCCCTACATGCAGGCCGGCCCTGCCCCCCCCGGCGTTGCCCAGGGGCAGATGGCCATGCAGATGCCCCCCGGCATTGCCCTGATGGAGCCCCGCCGCCCCCCCCACGACTACCTGCCCATCGCCGTGCTGACCACCGTCTGCTGCTTCTGGCCCACCGGCATCATCGCCATCATCAAGGCCGTGCAGGTGAGAGGGGTCTCTCTCTGTC